TGGGCCACCATCCCCTGCTTCTCAGACACATCAGCAGGGAGCTGAATCTCAAGTGAAATAGCTAGGCCTCCAGCTGGCACTTGTGTGGGATGTCGGCTGAGGAGAATGCTGGAGGTTTTATCTCCTGTGGCACAGTACTAACACAGTATTGTTACTGTCACCTAGTTACACATAGTTGTGGGACAATGGCTCAAGGATTTCTTCAAGAATGCTATTTAAGGCGTTCTTTATTTCATTTGAAAGAACGAACCAGAAAATGCTTCCCATCTGCTGATTCACTCCTCAAATAGACACAAAGCTGGGCACAAGCTGGAAACTCTGTGTGGGTGGCAGAGGCCCATCCTCAAGCCCTTACTACCCGAGTCTGCATTAACAGAAGGCCGGTTTTAATCCTGGCAGCCCCACTTCCCATCCAGCTCCCTGCTTGTGGCCTGAGAAAGCAGTAGAGGACAGCCAAAGCCTTGGGACCCTGCACCTGCGTGGGAGACCCGGAAAGAAGCTCCAGGCTCCAGGCTCCTGGCTTCAGAGCTTTTCATTCTGTTGCAGCCACTTGAGGAGTGAATCATTGGAGGGAAGATCTTGCTCTCTCCTCTCTGTATATCTGACTTTCCAATAAAAATAAATAAATCTTAAAAAAAGTATTCCCCATTAAAAAAAAAAACAAGTGGAAATAAATGACTGAAATGCATCACAGGCACATGATGACTCAACTGGCTAATTCTCCACCTCTAAGCACTGGCTAATGGCCTGGGAAAGCAGTGGAGGATGGCTTCCATTCAACAGTTGTCAACAGCATTCCATCATTCAAGTGCAAAATTAAAAAGATGTAAAGTGGTGGCCTTTGATCCAGCCGTTACGATGTCTGCCTACCATAGCAGGGTTGCTGGATTTCAGTTTTGACTCTAGCTTCTAGATTCTAGCTTCCTGTTAATGTAGAGCCTGGATGGAATTCCCAGTTCTGGGCTTTAGCCACAGCTATGGCAGACATTTGGGAGGTGAACCAGTAAAAGTAAGCTCTTTGTCTGTCTGTCTCACAGTTAGAAAATATTAAAGTCTCCAGACTTGTTCAAACATCCCCCTACTTGGGAACTAAAGTTCTAAATACACCATATTGCCACTTAATGGGCAATGTTAATTCTCATGCTATAAATAGGAGACTGATGAAATTTTACTGTTGTTTCAGGCCATGAATTTAATTTATAAAGATTTATTTATTCAAAAATGATATAAAATAAATGTTGTACAAACTGCAAAGCACCACCAAACGTTAGCATGGTTACCTGGCTTTGTTTATGTATTCTGGTACAATCTTCCTTTTTGCTGCTAAGATTTTATTCATTTTTGAAACTCAGAGTTCCAGAGATAGAGATCTTCCTGTCATGGTGGCTAGGGCTGGGCCATGCTGAAGCGAGGAGGCAGGAGCTTCCTCCAGATCTCCCAAGTGGGGCCCCAGATGGTTGGCCCCTTTCCCTTTGCTCTTCGCGGTTCATCGGAGCTGCACTGGAGGTAGAGAAGCTAGAACTGGAACTGGTGCTTATACAGGAGGCCAGCATTGCATGTGGCAGCTTCACCCACTTAGGCATATAACACTGGTCGCAACAGAATCTTCGGACCAAGAAATAAGTCTTCACCAGAGCAAATGGAAATTCCACTTCAGGAAAATTTTACCATGAGTAACAGTTGTACAAACAGAAGCTTCAGTGTCTCAAGTCACCTATAATCAAGAATGTACTATGTTCCAATTTTATGAATATACTTATATTCTTACTTATACTTATGCAGGTGACTGAGAAAATAGCAATACTTCTTTGCACCTTCTTTTGAATTAGCAGTAAGGCTACAGACATGGTAAAGAAGTCTTGATGAGTGAAGAGATCCTCTCAAGAAAATTACACGACCCCACCACCTGGTGTCTACCTGTAAGCTCACTGGGAGAACTTTTCATGTGCAAGTACACGTTGATCCTCGCAGCCATCCTGGGAGGGAAGCAGGGCCTGGTTATACGTTATGAGGCATTTACCCCACTAACTTAGGATACCAACAATAGTTTGTTTTTGAATTTAACATGTATTGGTGGGTCTCAGGACGGGGCGTCTCATGCCTGGATCCCGGACGGCCGCCATGGGCACAGCCGCCATGTGCTGAGCTGTCCCCGGGCCTGCTGGGTTCCGGGGGCCGCTTCCTTCGGGGTGAGTAGACCGAGGGGGAGGCCTCCGGGACTGGGCAGGCCCGGGACCCACCCGCCGCCCTCATGGGGCGGTGAATGGGATTTGGGAGGGGCGCGACCTTGGGCCTGGGTTATTTAAACCTCCAGCAGCCTCCTGGCAGCTGGTGGGTCTCAGGACAGGGTGTCTCATGCCTGGATCCCGGACGGCCGCCATGGGCACATGGTGAGCCATTCCCGGGCGGCCAGTGCTCCATTGGTGCCAGGCTCCGCCTGCTGGCCGCCCGGCCGGGGAGCTCTAGGGATTTGGTTCTTTGAGTTGCTGCTTAATTAGCTCCAGGTTGAACCCATTGTGCTTCTTGGACCTGAAACAGGCAGTAACTCTTCCTTAGCAAAACTTTTAATCACTAATAATTCTGAGCACCAAATACCAGTCATGCAGAAGCTAGGGCTTGGGGCTTGTTCTGCAAAAGTAGCTCCAACAGTTGGCCAGTGTGTCAACTGGTAATGGAACAGAGTAGATTAGGCCCGACTGAGCAAACCTTAGCCCACAAGTAAAACTAGAAACCAGGAGGGAGCAGAGGTCATGCCAAACTAGGCTCTTGTACCTGCTGGTCTGTGGGAGCCAGGGACGCTAAGCCACAGTGTCTAAGGCAGAGTTCGGGACAGGTGAGGAGCTGTGCCAAGCTGAGTCAGAGCATCCACTGGCAGGCAAGTGATCTATGGCTGGGAACAGGCCCGGTTGGGGAGCAAAGGGGACAACCCTAGCTGGGTTGAGGTTCCCACCAAGAAGCACATGGCCTGGAAGGGGAGCTGCGTTCTGATCTGGAAACAGTTGTAGTCTCCCTTGGCACAAGTGTGGACTGGGATTGGATGCACCGAACCGGGCCGGACCCCAACACCCCCTGGTGTTCTGGAGGACCAGGGAAGATGTATGATGGACTAGGCAGGGTCTCAAACCCCTACTGAGCCATGTGTGAGCCATATGTGGGTATGGACAAACCATGGCTGGGCTGGAACATCCAACAGCAAGAACCAGATTGGGTTGAAGGCCAGTCAGGAAAAGCCACAGTTCCTGCTATGACAGGAGGTGGACTGAGTAGGGTTGGCTCATGGACCCACTGGTAAGCGTGAAACCTGGCATTGGGAGAGGTTCAGATGGAGGAGCCTGGGCAACTCCTCTGGCAGGACACAGACCCGGCAGGTAAACACAAGAAACAGGATAGGAAACAGCCCAGAAAAGGCCATGGAAAGCTACAAACTGGCATGCAATTGGCAAACGTGGGGCAAGACCAGGCTGAATCTGTCCACATCATCCACTGGCAAATCCAGGCACCAGTGTGGGTCGACCTAGGGTCGGTCGCAAAGAAGACTAGTGCACAATATGGAATGCCAAGGTGAGGTTGCCTGTACCGGAAGGGACCACAGCGCCCTACCAGCCTGAGAACAAGAAAGGAAGTGGGCAGAGCTGGCAGGGGAATAAGGGAGGGTTCCTTTGCAGGACAGCTACTTCCGCAGGAGAGCATGGGCTGGGATGAGGGCAGACCAGACTAGGCAGAGCTACCACACCTGTGCGCCTCACGCAGTCTAGATCAGGGAAAAGCCGGGCTGGGCGGATTATTCCTACTGGTGCAAACAAAATTAAAGTGGGCGAGGGTTGTTTGGGCTTAGCCACAGCATCAGCTGGAATCTGGGAGTGGGAGAGGCCTGGGAGGGAAATAGGGGGCTCATCCCTCTTGGGTTACCACTTCCACGGCAGGACATAAAACTAAGATAGCGGCTGGGGTAGAATGGGGTGTGAGACAGACTGGATTACTGCTACACTTACTGGCAAACCAGGGCAGGGGGCGGGCCTGGTGGGGGTTATTGTGGGTCGCTCCAATCTAGGCTGCAGCTCCCGCTGGTTTATGTGAGGGCCAAGAATGTGCTGGGCAGAACTAGGCTGGACTGCAACACCCATTGGTTCCAGTGGAAGTCGGGAGTGAAAACAGAACCAACCCAGCAACTGCAACCACCAGCTGATTGGAGCGATGGACGGTGCCAGGCCTTGTACTTGTTAGCACATACAAGAAGTTTCTTTGGAGATCTTCCTAATCTAAATGCTGGACTCAGAACCCTAACGAAGAAAAGAGAGAAGACAGAACAGGTCAACCAGCCATCTAAGCTATGATGGACTATGTCAATCAGTGGATTTTTCAAAGCCCTCATAGTGCTTGGAGTGGCAAGATTGACAGCGATTCATAACTGTGGCAATATCAAAACCACTTGAGCAAGAACCTCAGAGCATGCCCTACATCCGGGACCTGGGGAGGGTGGGAAGTTGGGTGGGCCTTCTCCCTTAAATACCCCCCTTTAAACATGAAGGTAACAATATGGAAAACATACTAGTATTATCCACTTTCCTGTAGCCCTTGAACCTTCTTACCCTAATTAACTATGTAAAGAATGTCAAAATACAATTTTATAAAAATTAAAAAAAAATGAATTTAACATGTATTTTAAAAAATGAATAACAATAAAGTTTTTTTTTAATTTAGTGTCAGCTATTGCAGTACACTTTTTTAAAAAAATATTTATTTTTTATTTGAAAGGTAGATTTTACAGAGAGAAGGTTTTCATCTGCTGGTTATTCCACAAATGGCTGCAAGGCTGGAGCTGAGCAGATCTGAAGCCAGGATCCTGGAGCTTCTTTCTGGGTCTCTCACATGGGTACAGGGTTGTAAGGGCTTAAGCAATCTGCTGCTGCTGTCCCAAGTCACAAGCAGGGAGCTGGATGAGAAGTATAGCAGCTGGAAAACGAACCGGTGCCCATGTAGAAAGCTAACATTGCAGGCTGAGGCTTAGCTTGCTATGCCACCTGTTGGTCCCCAGTACACACATTTTAAAGTTCATCCTTCAGAGAGAAGACAAGAAATTTCTGAAGTCCATTTTTGGAGTCTCTTGGGATTCATTCTTGCTGAGCAACATTTTTAGTTGAGAGAAGTGTTTTTTTGTTTTGCTCACGTTCTTTGGGGAGCAGAGCGGTGTTGACTGTCCAGATGTAGGTGTTCTGGAAAGAAAGAAAACCACAGGCCAATAAATAATAGACATTTGCTTCCATTTAGCCTAGGTAACTGCTACTAGACTCCTTCAATACTTTTTTTACACTACCACCATCTGTCGGCAGTGGCTGCTGTACTCAGGAGTCGTTCCTATTTTGTTAAAATAGGTTATAGATAACCTTGGGGTTCTGGAAGTTTCTATCATACTTGAAAGATAAAGGTGGATGTTAAAGTATCATCAGGGTCAAGTTCCTCTACTCAGGTCTGACAACAACATTCATAGCAATCTTTTGTATTTACATTTCTTTATTTTATATTACAATCCCAGGAGCCCGGGGATTTTCCCTCCCTCCTTTCCCAGTTCTGCTTCTCACTGTTTCCCCTGTATTAGTACAATAGAAAAGTCCTTCAAAACATAGTATTTCTAAGCAAGAACTTTAAAAACGTACTCCTCACAGCTCAAAGCCACATCTTCTCTTAAAAGTGAAGAGTCTCAACCTGCACTGTAGATACAAGTCCGTAATACCTTCCACACTAGAAGGGAAGTGTGCAGGGCGGGCATTCTGTGGTTCCACTGCATATCCCAGTGCTTTCTGACAGTACCAAACAGGAGGCACTCTAGCGTATCTCATCCCCTCCAGGTTGCCCTGTGTCCCTGAGCCCTTGTTTGGGGCCCGACAGTCTGCTTCCTTCTAACGTGCCATCTGTGTAAGTGAAGGGTGTTTCCTACTGTAGCCTTGATCTAACGGTGCAGTCATCCCTCAGGAGGCCAACACTGTGCTCCAGGAACCACCTCCCCTGCAACAGATAACCTGCACTATCCTCCCATACACTTTAAGTCAGCTTTTCATTAACTGTTATACTTAATACATTGTAAATGCTATCTAAATGTCTGTTACATCATATCCTTTGAGGAGTATGAGTGTAGACATAATTTTTTTCTGAATTTCTGACTGCAGTTGGTTGAATCTGCATATAAAGCCTGCAGATACAGAAGGCTAACTGGTCTGGTCCAAATGCAACTAAAGCATTTTAAACGCACCAAAGTTCATTTTACCTGCATTCAGTAAAGTTAAAATTTCTGATAAATTCTCAGTATAAAAGACATAAAAATAATTAAGTCAAGAACACAGAGAAAACTGTTTTAATTTTCATTCAATTTTATAAACTTAAAGCCTAATATAAAAATTTCAATATGCAGAGATACTCTAGTCCTTGCTGAATTTTGTTATTTATGTTCAAGAGATCATCAGACTCAATTTATCTTCTGTAACAAAATATTCCAAAACTCCTTTCACAGTTTCTATGAAATTAAATTTAAATTTATGGAGCATCACAATGAATAAGGTACTGAGGGTTACCAAAATTAAAAAAAAAAAAAACAGGTGAAATCATACAGTTAAGGTGTTTCTGACAGAGAAAAGAGTAAGAACAAAAGTTTAGGGAGGACGTGTGCTGGCATGTAGGATGTGTTGCTAGAAAACAGGATGGCAAAAGTAAGGCAGACAAACTGATGCCAATTAGTGAGGCTGCAAACACTGGGCTAGAGGTTTTGATCTATGCTACAGGAGGAGTGTAAAAGGCTGCTAAGCTGAGCCGAGATTTGAAAAGGGTTTGAAAGATGTAGGAAGAAATCAATCACTGTAGTAGTCTTGACAAAAAGTGCACAGATTCCAACAGTAGGAAGAGAAGGAGAAAATACCTGTGCAAACATCACAGGAATCGAGGATCAGAAACTGGCAACGAGGCACACGGGAGAAGGGATGTCAACTGGACTGTCATGTTAGGTAAGAATGTCCAGAAGGGCATGTTTCACTGAGAGGGAGGAACTTATAAGGACCAGCAAGCTTGAGTGGTTAGCTGTGGGACAAGATGAGCTGTTTTGAACAAGTAAAGCCTGAGGAAGATATACTGAGAGGAAGCGGGAAACAGGTTAGGGAAGGCTGAAAACAGAGGAACATAACTGGAGGACACAAGCAAGGAGGTGAGAGTTGAGGATAGGGCAGGAAGCGCATGGGGCATGCAGGGGAAGGGAACAGCATGGATTCAGGCAGAAGTGTGCTCGTGAATGCTGCCAGTGCAGATAAGGCTAACAAATGAAGGTACCTGAAGATCAGTGCCGGGCTCTTGGCTTTAGAACCAGACAGAGTGAGGTGTCTTGGAGTCTTTGTCTCTGGGACCTTCTGGCTGAGTTTACTCATCGGAGTAACTGGACCTCTCTTCAGTGCTGACAGAAAGCTTCTACTTCGACCAGGATGTTTAACTGTTCTGTTGCATGTTTTACAAGTAACCAGCTGTCAGGAAAAGAAATGTTAGAGAATGCTGCTCTGCCAGGGGCTGTGCTGTGGGAGCCTGCAGTCCAGCAGCAAGGACCAGACGAGACATACTTAAAATTAAAACTCTGTATTAAAAGGCAGCACCTCAGCATATATATTTAGCTTAACACAGCCTAAGCTGTGCTTGGAGAGGAGACTAGACAATCCTCCCCTGTAACAGCAGGAGACATTTACTACCTTTCACATATGAACTTCAAGCCTTTTGCCCACAAAACATAAAAATGCCCTCCTTCAATACTTAGCAATACTATAAATATAGGTCTAACTTATGAAACCAAATAAGTAATCACATTCTTACACCTCATTTCCATAATTGATTTTAGGATTCATGTTTTTGGAAAGAGGTGGTATATAGATTAAATCAGTAAAACAAATACTTTTACCATCTTTCTAGTTGGCAACTCTGATTAAAATGCATTACAATGTAAACTTCAAGAAGGCAAAACATTAGATCAACTTCCCATTTAAGAACATCTCCCAGGGTCTGGTGCAAGGGATCAATTGCCTAATCTCCCCCTTGCAAGCACCAGAGGCCCGTCTGGGTGCCAGTTCCTGTCCTGGCTGCTCCACTTTCCAGCTCGCTGTTTATGGCCTAGGAAAGCAGTAGAGGATTCCAAAGCCTTGAAATCTTGCACCCAAATGGGAGACTGGGAAGAAACTCCTGGCTCCTAGCTTCAAATCAGCTAAGCTCCAGCTACTGTGGCCATGTGGGGAGTGACCCAGTGAATGAAGATCTTTTTTGTTCTGTCTCTTCTTGCCTCTGTAAATCTAACTTTCTAATAAAATAAGTAAATATTTTTTAAAAATGCCAAAATGTGGCAGAAATGTTTTCTGGAATAAGAGATGAATCCTACTCACTTCAATAGTTTATCTTTTCCTCTAAATATTCAATTTTGTGACAAAGCACAATGGACTTACCTGATCTAACACTGGCAAACCAGTTAATTCTAAGTCATTTTTGATCCACTTCCCTGTTACAACCTGGGAAAGGAACAGGGGATGGACCCCTGTATCCTCCTGGGAGACTGGAAGAAGCTCCTGGCTCATGGCTTCAGACTAGCCCAGCTCTAGCCCTTGCAGAAATTTGAAGTGAACCAGTGGATGAAAGATCTCTTTTTCCCTCTCTCTCTGTAACTCTTTAAAGTAAAATAAATAAATTTTTAAGACAAAACAAAACAAAGGTGATAGTGACACACAAACCATATTCCAGATAATATACCAATCACTAGAAAAAAAATTTGTGTACACATCTTGATAATTCCAGTGAGATAATACTGTAAATCTCTAGTTATAATCAGGTTTTTTGTTTTTGTTAAGGTGTGTCAATTTGAAAGAAACAGAAGGAGACACAAAGACATTACTTCCATCCACTGGTTCATTCTCCATATGGCCACAATGGCCAGGCCTTGGCCAGGCCAGATCCAGGACCCAGAGCTTCATCCTCATTTCTCACACGGGGAGCAGGGGCCCAGACGCCTGCGCTTCCTCCCAGTGCTCCTCCCAGACCATTAGCAGGGAATCGGATTGGAGGTGGAGCAGCCAGGACACAAACAGTGCCCACACATCTGCCAGAGTTGCAGGTAGTGGCTTTGGTTTCAATGCGGCAACACTGGCCCCTTCAGGTTGATTCTTAAAGAAATAAAAGATTCCAGTTCAGCCATACATTTGGAAATGAAATCTTACCAATACACTTTTGGATTCTCTGTACTTTTTCAAAATTTTTGCTTCTTTAAAACTGAGTGTAGAATTTCTTGCTTCTCGATTAAGAAGTTTCTGTATTCTGGGTGTCAGTTTGGGCTTGGGTTTGAGGCGTACTCGGGAATTATCCAGAACTAGCAACTGGAAACAGTATGGACATGTTTCTTCAAAACTCTTCTTATCATCTAAAACACGAAACTCAGTGTTCATCAAATCAGAATACTGTTACCTCAACAAACAGTAAGGAAAACATGAGCATACGAACACTCTCTAAGCCAACCCACTAAACATACATTCACAAAATAATTAAATTGGCAACATTTTGCAAAATACTACAATTTCATCCATTAACTTCTCTCAGCAACAGACAAGCAAGTCTCCAATCTTTGCTACCTAGCTCATCACTTGATACGTAAGTGTATATACACTTATACATCTAACTAACCTATTTTCCACAAAACAACAAATGGCACCGGAACATAGCACAATGATTTAGGTACCTACTGTAGAGACTATGTTGAATGCTAGGACAGCAATTACAAAGCACCAAGAAGCGTGTCAGCAGCTCAACTCTGGCAAATGTAAAGCTCAGGCCTATTCCCTTAGAGGCTGTCAGGCACTGCCCTGGTGCTGGATACACAACTGTGCAAAAAGAACACTCACACAGGCAGGTAACAGCCAGCACCACCAGGTGCTAAGTGCTGCAGAATCAAAGAAGGGAGAGGACAGTGAGGCTGCTGGCTGGCCTTACTGCAACTTTGAGTAGGGGGCTAGAAAAGGTGTCCCTGGGCCACAGCTGCAGGGCGCAGTGGGTGTTCATGCGAGAGGCCACGGCTGCAAGGCCATGGAAGGGCAGCTGCAACGGCAGAGACAACAGCAAGGTCCTTCCGAAGGCCCGCGTGCCTGTCTGAGCCCTGTCTCCCTCCACTTGCTTCCTCTGTGAGATGGGAGGTCACTTAGGGTGAGCCGTGGTAAGCTTGGCTTTAACCACAATTGCTGGGACCACTGGCCTGAGAACAGGTCATGGGAGCCATCGGCGGCCACCCAGGGTTGGGCAGGTCGGTAGCAATGGAGACTGTGAGAAATAGTCTCACGGTGGAAATAGTTTAAAGCTAACGGAACCTGCCTGCAGAATAGCCCAAAGGTGGGGTAGGGTCAGGCTGAGAGGAAATCAAGAATGGCTCTGAGGTGGTGGTGGGGAGAGCAAAACTGGAGAGGGGAGGTCTGTTGGGGGGTAAATCCAGATTTTGGACACAGTAAGTCTGCAATACTTCAGGCACCCGGGTATGCGAGTCTAGAATGTGGGGAGAGTACTGGGCTGGGTATGTAAGTCTGGAAAAAAGTGGTCGCCATGAAGCTAACGTGTAGCCAGGGAAGGAGGTCCAGGGACTGGGTCCCAGGACACCTCCCCAGGCAGAGGTCGGGGAGGGTCGGAAGAGGTCGCAGCGCAAGTCGGGACGCGTGGACTCCAGAAGCAGGCGATGGCCAGCGCGATGACCGGAAGTGAGGCCACGCGTCAAGCCGGCTGAGACAGGGAGACCGCTCGGGCTCTGCCAGGCAGGGAGTCCTTGCAGCACGGCGAGGATTGAGGTCCCAGCACCCGCCCCCGCGGACGGGAGCGCTGCTTACCGTGGGACGAACTGTAGGTCCATCTGTAAAACATAGACAAATGGTGAGGGGCGACGCCACACCTGCTAGCCGCGCCCTCCAGCCTCCTGCCCGGCCCTCTTACAGCAGGTAACGGGCCTGGCCCGGACAGCTCTCCCGCAGCTGCCGCGCTGCAGCCTCAAGGTAGTGCTTCTGTCTCATGGCCGCCGCGATCGCTCACAGGGAAGACACGGACACGGCAGGGGAACACGCCGCGGAGATTGGGACACGCCGGACGCAGATCTTCCAGAGCTGCCGACAGAGGAACCGCTCCCTCCGGAAACCGGCACCCTGGGCAGACGGGTTCCGGGTCGCTGAGCGTCCAGTCCAGTGCGCAGGCGCGGCCCCGCCCCTCAGCCGTAGAGAACTCTTGGTCTCCGAGGGAGGATCCCGACGAGGTGGCCAGGTCCCCTGCTCCCATTTATCCGTCTATCCTGCTTGTCTTCTCTTCCGCTCCTGTGTTTTCCTCCTCGGCCTCAGCTAGATTCTGGAGCCCAAATTTGGGGCATCAGAAAGCCACCGGAAAGAGTGAGATCTTAGGAGACTTCGCAGAGACTTCCACCATCACTCGTTTCCTGTTGGTGCCTCATCCCCAGACCCTCACCCTGTCCACCTTACTGGCTCTGCTGGTCGGAGCAAACGGAGCCATATGTGTGCACAGCACGAGGGACAATCTGAGGGACCGCTGGACCTACAAAGAAAATGTCTCTGAAGTGAATTGCACCGAGGTCAGCCGCACCCTAACAGCATGTTGGAATGGCAATGGTGAAACTGCTGTTGTCATGTGGCTGCCTGGAATCCTGCCTGTGCCTGTTGGGACTGATGGAGAGGCCTCTGTTGGCCTGATGAAGCGTAAAAGAGACTTTGACATAACAGGTCCTGAAAGAAGCTCCTGGCTTTGGATCAGCTCAGTTCTGGCCATTGCAGCTACCTGGGGAGTAAAGCAACAGATGGACGATCTTTGTCTCTCCTTATCTCTGTAAATCTGCCTTTCCAATAAAAAAAAAATAATAAATCTTTTAAAGAAATGCTGGCAGATCAGAAGGGTGTGGGGCTGATAAGCATCAGCTGAGAAAGCTGCATGATCCAAATTCTCTTTTTGGGTTACTACAACAAAACACATTGATCTTGGAGATTGTAAAAGTAAACACCAGAAATGTCTCAGTGTTGTGCAGGCTGGGAAGTCTAAAATCAAGACAAAAGCAGATTTGATTTCTGGGAAGGCCTCACTTTCTGCTTCCAAGACAGAGCTTGCCAGAATAAATAAGGAATCAGAAAGGCTGGCGGCCTGGCGTGGTTGGTTGAAGCAAGGTGTAGATGTACATTTGTGTAATACAATTTTCTCTCCACCCTTACCACCTTCCCATTCCCTGAAGCAATCGATATTAATATGTAGGTGTCTGCTATGTCCATATCTGTTGAATTACATGTACACATATATAAGCATGTCCCACCCACCATGGTCACACACAAAACCAAACCCATACATACACATAAAAAGCCCAAACTAAAAAAAAAAAAAGATAGAAAGCTAACCCCTTTTTATATATTTTGTTGTCTTCCTTAGCAGGCCGCAGTCATCTTACCAAGTCAGCGTATATCATTCTCACACATGCCTTTTAGTAACTGTCAGTGTTTCAAAATGTAATGTTCCATAGCTAATTTAGCCATTTGCCTATTGACGGAAATGCAAAAACATTTCCTGCATTTTGCTGGTTCAAATGGTACAACAGCAAAAATCTTGTATACACTGGTGCTTTTTCATCCCTTTGGTTTCAATTCCTTAAAGAAATTTCTGGGTAAAATGCTATGCATTTTAAAAATCTACCTGGTGGTCCAGAAAAGGTTGTCTGTCACAAGTCCTGTTTCCAATATCAGTGCCTGAGAAGGCTCTGTCCCTCTTGATGGGTGAAGAGGCAGTGGCTCTTTCATGTGTTCTGCCTGGTTTTATTGAAGAGAAAGATTCTACTGGCTGGTGGAACAATTTCTAAGAGATATTGCATTTTAGGGAAGTTTGACTTCTTGACATATATAATACAATATTTTTTACTTCTTATCTTTGGCATGGTTTATAAAAATTCATGCCATACAGAATTCTGTTCATGGTCAAAAGAGTCACTCTCATTATTAAGTCTGTGTTTTCTATGCAGCTTGAAAAGGCCTGAGTTATGTTGAATCTACTAAATATTCATGCAAACATATCTAAGTCTGACTTCTTCAATGGAAATTTTTACTTAGTAATAAATATACATTGACTGATGTAGAAAGTACAACATCTAATCTTTTTTTCAACATGTAGAGCATATTATGCAAAAAACCCTTCTTAGGTAAGCTGATCTTTTCCCATTTGGATAGAAATAAAAATAATAGTAAGCCCTGAGTATGTGCCAGGCACTTTTCAAAACATCTTAACAGGTAAGAATTCATGTAATCCTCAGGGCAGCTCCACAGTATAGGTGAAATGCTACTTAAGTACCCAGCACAATGGCTCAGTCACTAAATCCTTACCTAGCAAGCACCAATCGCGTATGGATGCCAGTTCATGTCCTGGCTACTCCACTTTCCCATCCAGCTCCCTGATTGTGGTCTGGGAAAGTGGGAGAGGATGGCCCAAAGACTTGGGACCCTGCACCCATGTGGGAGACCCGGATGAAATGCCTGGCTCCTGGCTCCTGATTGGCTTGACTCCAGTCTTTGCAGCTAGTTGGGGAGAGAACCAGCAGATGGTTGTCTCTCCTCTCCATAAATCTGATCTGCCTTTCAAATAAAAATAAAAATAAAAATAATGTAAATAATTTTTTTAAAAAGATAAGTGATACTTCATCACGTGGAAGGTATTCTGAACATGGTATCTATTTTCAGACTATCTGATTTTGCTAACAAAGCTGAAAAGAGTAAAAATGTGTATAGCACTAACACATGCACACACTCACACCCTGCTTGCCTACAGACTTGCAACCATCCCTCTCTTCCGTACTGTGGCAACACACTCCCAACAACTCAGTTGTTCACATACAATATAACCAGAATATCAATTTATGAAATATTTGTTTATTTAAGAGAGAGACCTTCCATTCCTTTCTCCAACTCTTTAATTAGCCACAATGGCCAGCGATGGGACAGACTGAAGCCAAGAGCCTATAACTCCATTCAGGTCTCCCATGTGGGGTTGGGTACCCAAATACCTGGGCCATCTTCTGCTGCCTTCCCAGGCACATTGACAGAGACCTGGGTTGGAAATGGAGTAGCTTAGGCCAGAAGTGGCACATTTATGAGATTCATGCATTGGAGAGAATCGTTTAACCTGCTGTATCACCACAGTGGCCCTAAAATATCTCTCTTGCTTTCCCCACCAGCCTCCCACCTGCCCAGTCTTCCATCTTCTCTCCCAGGCAGTACTGCTGCTTCCTCTTTCCTTCATGTGCTGCTAAGGTGTCACAGGGCCTGCCCTCTGCCCCAGAAATGAATCACCACTCCATCTTATTCTCCACCTAGTTCATCTGCCCTGGCCACCAATGGATGGAAGATCTCTCTCTAATTCTTTCAATTAAATTTTTAAAAATGTGAATCTTGTTTGGAGTGTTCCTTTTCAGAGACCACACAAGAGTCCTGTGAGGATGCCATGGAAACAACTCAGCCTGACCAAGCTCTCCAGGCCCTGTCTGGACAGGGGACCGTCTCCATTCACACTTCGTGTCCCTTTCCCACTCCACATGGCTCTTGCCACCCTTGCTCTCTCTCAGACTTAACCTCAGATCCTTCTCATTGCTGCTCTTCATTACCATCCCAAGGAGATACCTTCCTTGACTGCCTGAATATAAGATTCTTCCCACCCTCCAAGCTGTGCTCTGCCATTCCTGGCTCTCTGTTGTCACATGTCACGCTAAATTTGGCTCAGGGATGCCCCCAGACTTCAGTCTTTATGTCATGAACTGCAAACCTAACAGGACAGGAACTAACTGAAAGCCTAGTTAGTAGTATTCCTTTGTGACCTATGGCTGGGCCTTGGGCAGTCACAGTGCCCCAGTTCAGTCCGTTGCAGGCAGTCATGTGATCAGATACAGCCAGCATCCAGCTGCCACCAGTCGAGCTTCCTCTGCTCTGAAGTCACGTGCAACATCCATGAATGCTTTCTGACCACACTGTAGTCCAGGATTCCCTGTACCTGCTCTGGCTTTCAAGACTTGTTCTGGACTCCATGAAAGCCTGGAAAACTTCATGTTGTCTCCAGTGTTCCTTTGAACACACTGTAACCTTAGTATCCCACTGACCTTGTTCTTCTTTTTTTTTTTTTACCTGTTTTCCTCCAGACTGAACCTGTTCTGTGCATGTCTGCCTGCCTAGGGCCTGGCAGAGAGCAGGGTTCCCAAAAAGTTTTGTTGAGTGGGTTCTCACAGTGAAAAGAGTTCAGTCTGTTCCTTGTCTCTCAGCATGGAAAGATTACACATCAAACAAGCAAGGGAGGGTGAGTAAAGGAAAAGTCTTACTGAGAGATTTAATAGAGAATTGAGAATCAAGACTTCTGTGACTGGGAGGAATCCCCAAGGGAAGAGTACTGGGAGCTGATAGAGAGTGCATATCAATTGGTCTATTTGGCGTAGGTTCAGTAGTCAAGGGTCTGCTCCGTGGCGTGGATGTCACTTAGGTCACAGTTACTGACCCATTAATGAATATTATTGTGCTGACTACTTGAGAGGGGTGACAGGTGACAGCATGCTGCTTTGCGGCATATTCTGGTCAGTTACCTAAGGCTGCGGGAATTATTGCGGTCCTGTCGATGCTTTTTGTTTTCTTGGGACATCGTTTTTTGTGTAATTGGTACATGGCAGGTGTCGCACAAACATTTGATCCCTCCTTCCCATGGGGACCCGTCCTAACTGCCTGGGACGCTGCTAACTCCTCAGACGGCAGGGGTCCTGGGAGTCAGGGCAAGACCGTTAGCCTCCTCACTTCACACTTGAAATAACTGAGATGTTGTCACTGCAAAGCCACATGCCAGTGAGGGACTTGACCCGGTTCCCCTGGCTCCAAAACCTGGGCTCCCCAAGCTGGCTCCGCTCTGGTCTGGCTAACTTGAACACCAGGACATCTTAGGCCACCAGGCAAAGTGGTGCTGACAACCACAAGCTTCTACAGCAACACTGATTTTCTCAGTCGTATTGTCCTGCTCCCAAACCTGCAAGAGCTGTTCAACCCAACTCGTTTGTCCAAA